AGGAGGCGTGGGTGATAGCGCGCGCCGTGCTTGTTTTGGCATAACGTTTTCTGCGCGCCTCATATAAGCCCAGCCTGGGCTCTGCGCGGATGGGGCGCGAAGCTGCAAGTGGAGTGGAGCTCGGCCGGCTGTCTCGGTCGGGGCCATCACGAATTGAGGCATATAAGGGTGGAGGCTCTGGGTGGGCTCCAGGTTGATGAACGGATCGCTTTCCCTGACTCTTTGACTGAACTGAGGATGCTGAATGCGCGTTGGGAACAGTGCTCAAGTCGACCGGGTCGGCGTTCGAGAACTTTGTGCGGGACGAGTACACGACGCTCAGCGAGGTCAACGACCGTATCTTCAGCACGAGTATCGATCTCGCGTATACGTATGCACCGCTGGCCGTGAGTGGGCATGGGGATGGGAAGGAGCTCGAGGAGAAGCACGTTCAGACCAAGGTGCGTTTCTCTGTCTTGCTCTTCGTGTGTTCGTGTTTGTCTTCCCCGGTGTCTTTCTCTGCATGCGGTACTGCCAGCCGTCAGCGACAATGTGCCGACAGGGTGCTCCGTTCATATGGGTATATTGCAGCGGGAAGACCCCAATATCTGCATCTTTCAGCAACAGCTGATCTCTCGCTATCTTTACGACTCTGCGCCTTGTGTACGTCTACGACAGCTGACAATCTTTCGTTGGTGTAGGCTGGTGATGCCTGGGACGACGACAAGATCGCAGCGAGTGTGCGCGATATTACACTGAATGTATTCGCTACGGACGAGAGCGCGAGCGTACAGGTGCGTTCCCTAGCGGCCGAGCTTTCACTGATCCGGAGCTGACTTTGTATTATTGTCCTCGTTCTTCCGCCGCCGGCCCCGATGATCTGCGTCCGCTTTTCATTTCGCGCTTGTTTCCCCGCGATTAGGCAACACTGTACAAGATCGGCCAGACGATCCTCAAAGCCAACGCGGGTGTACAGAGCGTGCGCATCGCGCTGCCCAACAAGCACTACATCCCGGTCGACATGAAGTACATCGGGATCGACAATCTCACGCCGTACGTGTCCCAATTCTGCTCCTTTCCCTCTGGAGCCCTTGCTTTGTGCGAACCCGGCGGAGCGCTGGTGGTCAAAGTATAGTTCGTACCTTGGCTCCGCTCCTTTCGCGAAAGAAGGAAGCGCTCCGAAGGGGATTTGACGACCCTGCATGCTGCGGGCTCGCTAGCGTCCCCGCGTTCGCGACGGGGGGTCATGATGCGCGGTCTCAGCGGCGATCTGCTGTATCGGCGCTCTTGAGAGAGCTCGCTGGCTGACGCGACGACGAACGCAGGTCCAAGGCCGAGGTCTTCATGCCCGTTGACGCACCGAGGTGAGCGATTGCCGCGCTGTGGAGTGTTTGAGCGCCCGGACTGACGCAACCTTTCCAGCGGGCTCATTTCTGCTACCGTTTCGAGAGCATGAGTGGCAAACACGTGGATTGACGTAACTCGTTCCCGGAGAGACGTGGTGACTCTCTCTCGAGCTCGAGAATGGGCAAGGGAGAGACGGATCGGAGGGTGGAAAAGTATGTGCGTTCTGGGAGGACGAGTACGTTTGTCGAGTGCTGTTTGTGAATGTAACATTACGAGGAATTTATTATGGCAGGGGAGGCGAGCCTGGAGGGCAGCAGAAAACAATGACGTCATGGATATTCTCACGGCCTGTGATGCTCTTCAGAGTACTTGACGGCCCGCTCCACAACGACGACCATCTCTTCCTCCTCTCCCTCTCGACCCTTCGTACTAGCCTTCCCACTGTTTAATCGAGAAACCATGGCTGGAGATCACAAATGCCCAGTCTGCCAGGCGACGTTTACGCGCCCACAGCACGTCGCCCGGCACATGCGAAGCCGTGAGTAGTAGCGTCGGCCAGGTGGAGCGGTGGGGGCTGCTCCCATCTGCGAACCAAACCACCACCGCCCCGCCCGCTCCCGACCTTAGAGACAAGATCCACTGACTCTTTGTCTTTGTCTTTACCAGATACCGGTGATCGCCCGTACCGCTGCCAGCACTGCGGAGACCAGTTCGCTAGAAGGTATAGTAGCGTCTTCCTTTCCCGATTGGGTAAATACTGATGCTCCTCGTTCAGCGATCTACTCTCCCGACACGTCAACAAGTGCCATCCGAATGAAAAGCCGCTCTCGTCTTCTGCGCCACAGCGTCGCAAGGGATCGACGTCCGCGACTCGGGCGACGACGTCCAAGCAAGCGTGCGATCAGTGTGTCCAATCGAGCCTGCCCTGTGACGGCGCGAACCCTTGCTGTACGTGGATCCTCCCATAACATGACCTGCTTTTTGCTTATTGTACTTTGCTAGCCAAATGCGTTCATCGCAAGTGCCGATGCACCTTTGTCAAGTTTCACCGCCAGACTGCTCCCCTCGGCCCCGGCCACCCTTCACGCCCGAATGACCCTAACGCCGCTGCACTCGCTGCCGCGGCTGCAGTGGCAAACGGCGCACTGCCTGGAGTCAACGCTCTGCCCGTGCTCGCCGGTCTGCCCGCTGTCCCGCCCGGCTACCGCCTAACCGACTCGTTCCTGCTCGCGCCCAACGCCCAGGCCGCTCTCGCCGCCGGCAATCAGCCCAACCCGCTCTATGCTAATGCGGCTTTCAACTTTGGCCAAGCACTCAACAACCCCACGTTCACTGAGGACTATGCCGCCCGTTACCGCGCCCAGGCAGAGATGCTCGCTCGCGGTGGTCTACTTGGCCCTGACGGCTACCCACAGGATCTTCCTGGCCAGGATGGTCGGTATGCAGCCCCGTACCCACGCTCAGAAATTCCGGCCGCAACGCGCAACGGCGTGGTCGATTTCGCATACAGCCCGGAGAACAAGCAGGTACGTTCGTGCGTCATCGTGTGGCTCGCGGTCTCGGCCGCGACGTCTTATCACTTATTTTGCTCACGCTCTGGGCCCTTGACAGAACGGCGCCTATGCTTCCCGCGATGACGAGCCGCAGTACGGCTCTCTGCCCTCCTCGTTTGAGGCCCAGCCTGGGTACGGGAATCCGGTCTACGCGTATAGTCTCGACCATCGCCGGCCCTCGACGGCAGACTCGGATGTTACCGGCTCATCCTCGGCCTCGTCGAGCTCTGTGCATCTGCCTCTGCCGAATACGCACCCCGCATACTCTGCCACCCATGCGCGCTCTGCCTCATCCTCGTCCTCGTCCTCGGGCTACGACAATCAACAACGGAATGAAGGCTACCCGGCCGATGGCGAAGGCGGCTTCAGCAGCGCGTTCGGTTTGATGTCACTCGACGATCCCGCCGTTTTAGCTGGACTCAGCGAAGGTGTTCCCTTCTTTGACCATGCGAACGGCGAGCCAAACGGTCCCGCATGGCAAGATGGCGTCACTCCCCGCGCAGGCGTTCCTCCCGGCATGCAAGACCGCGAGAACACGAACGGTCATCGTAACGAGAAGGCCGGTCAACAAACGCCCAGCACGCTAAGGGAGCTCAAGGACATGTGGAGGCAGTACATGCGTACGCCGCTTACGGGCCAGCAGCTCGGACATGCTCCTGCACAAGCTGTTGACGATAGCAACGTAACGCGAAGCCCGCCTCGCGCTCGCGGCGAGCAGCGCCCGATTCCTCGCGTCGCGAGCATGCCTACCGTTAAGACGCCTGATGCCGGCGCATGGGATACGCGCGGGATGCCGCCGCTGCCCGGTCGCGGGAGCATGAACAACCCCGACGATCTACGGAGCTACGAACAGGCAGTTCTTGCCCGTCGTGCGCCGATCTCGCTCAACCTCGTGCCGAAGAAAGGACGTATGGGCAGTCTATCGCAACAGGGCGCGCCACCTCCTGGAAGCGAGAATAATCGACCTGGTAGCCGTGGCTCGTACGAGACCCACGACGAGAACAGCCCGAGCCCTCTCCCGCTGCTTCACCCGGTTACGAACTTCGCGCCCACCGCGATGGCGTCCGTGGATGCGCGGCCGGGCTTCAAGCGCCTTGCCAGCCAGACGCTCGCACCTGAATACGCAAAGCGCACGGCTGTCGCTGCACAACCCGCGTACGGCTCGCACAATGAGAGCGTGTATGCGGACGATGAGGAAGACGAGGCCGCGTACATCGCCGAGAGCGCCAACTTTGCTGAACGTGCGCGACGCATGAGTGCCCCGGTACACGCTGCGGCGGCGTAACGCGCCCTCATGACCACCAGGGACGAAGACGGCGAGCGCGCCCTGTAACAGTATCGTGCAAAGTGTAGTATATTATGCGCGCCGCCGTCCTTTCTGCTCTGCATTCTGCCTTTTTGTGACATAATGGATACTTTGTCTTTTTGCTCGTTTGTACTCGTCGTCGGCGCGGTAGAGCTTGGACCAACAAATATGTATTACCACCCCCCTCAACATTCCCAGTTCGCGTACTTTACACCAATCACCTAGCCCGCGCCAATGGCTTTTTTTACCTCTTCATGCAGCAGTCTCTCTCCTCTTTCTTCCCCTCTTCCTCCCTCTTCTTGAAGCTCCTGCACAATATTGGCCGACCGGATTCGCGCCCTGGCCCTCTGTTCCCCTTTTGCTGATCCTGACTCTTGCGTTTACGGTTACGGTTTCGGTCTCGAGTGGTTTCGGTTATGGTACTTACGTCGGTTCTCCCCGGTCTGCAAGGATACGAAACGAATTACTTACGTGCGCGCGACCCTGTTAGTAGCGTAGATAATGATGGAGAAATGGACTTATTATCCAACGAGAGACGGGCGCGCGCGATTATCATAACAGTGAATTCGGAGAGGGAGATTTGGTGGGTGCGTGTGGGTGTTTGTTGGTCCGGGATTTCGTCGACAGTTGTTCGAGGACGCATGAGTCGGTATTGCCTCTCTGTATCCAATGCTACGCCTGTGTAATGGCTCTCCAGTACAGCTAGACGAAGTTTAATTCTGTAGTCACTCCTTGACGATAGGACTCTGCGCGAACTTGCGCCTGGTTGGTCGATGGCGGCCGGGTATGGGCGGTGCACAAACACTCACTGGTATCCTTCGGTAGCTCAGTGGAAGAGCGCGGGTTATAATGTAAAGATTAGATGTGTGTTCATCCCGAGGTCGCTGGATCGAAACCAGCTCGAAGGAATATATGACATAAATTGTAAAATTTTAAACCATGTATCGGGCGAACCGCTTTTTTGGCGCACAGGTCAAGATCCAGACTTATACGGTGGAATACGCAGACGCAAGATGATACCACAGAGACGTTATCACTGGGATAAGTCAGCGCAAGGGACGTTGAGGAAGAACTAGAAGACTTTGGGCGCCTCTGAGCGCCAGGCGCCTAGGGAATGGGGTCGGACGTCAATGATCGGTATGCATGCATGCTCTGACAGCCTTCGATAGCTCAGTTGGGAGAGCGCGAGATGAATGTTACAATCCTTGTACAGAACGATTTGATCTCGAGGCCGCTGGATCGAAACCAGCTCGGAGGATGGCAGGCGGTGACTGTTTTTTTGGCTGGTATGGTATCATTCGTGGTGGTGGAGGGGCTGCAGAAGAGCGGATCTGCACGAGAGTAGGTTCTAGGGCGCTTCAAATGGCAGTTCAGTGCAGTTTTACCAGCACAACAAGATCGGAAGCACGGTAGTACTGAGATGGATAGTGATTTGCGAGGGTGCGTGAGGAGGATGCGGGTGTGCTCGCGTCGAGATCCATCATTTTGCGCGCGAACAGGCCGACGCGAAGACTCTCTGATCGAGAGCGTGGAAGTCACCTCGAAGAGTCGCATAGAACCCACTCCTTATAGGAGTTCCAACTAAGATTGATACGTGGACACAGAATATGAGAGCGGGAGACCAACGTCGAAGCTGCTGCCGAGTACCCGTTACTGAACAGTACCGGTGGCTCAGCACAAGCAGAATTATACGCAGGATGCACAGATCACAAGCCATTCGCGATAGCCATTCAGCCATAGTCATACATAAAACTTCGTATGGACCGACTTTGACTGCAGCATCGTCTTGGTGGTTCGCGAGCAACTCAAGAGCGCGCGGGCGCTTCCAAGTTCGAACATCCGCCGCACGGGCCGTTACCGCCCGGTAGAGAGCGCTCACTCTTGCTTTGGCCGGTTGCTCACGACCGCCACCATCTCTGCCTCGCTCTCACTACAATTGCTACCATTCTCGTACTACTGCTGCGATACGTGATAGTACGCGATGTTATAGTCCCCTTTCGCATCGAGACGGGCAATAAGAAGAGAAATGGTGTGAACAGGCAGGAAGAAGTGCTCGGCCTCCGCCGACGTGATTCCGACACACGCTCACGACCTGCTTCTGCCCACATCATGCGTCCCGCGATACTCGCCCCAGAATACGCTCCTCCTAGGTCAGTCTATTAGTGTGTGTAATGAGAAACGCGCATACGGGGAGTTGTTATGCGCGGAGATGGTACACACATTGCTGGTCACTCTACGTCTCCGAGGTCACAATCATGCTGAGGAGTTGGTCTTTGGCTTTTGATCCACTTTCCACAATGCAGCGCATGCTACATGTTTCCAGTCAGTGACCACCGGCCATTCTTAGATGCCGAAGCAATTAGACGGTGTACCTATACCGTCGCCAGGAAGACATATGAACCGTGGGCGCGGGACCCAGGCAGCACGAGCAACCATAGCACTGGAGCAGAGTATGCCCAAGAATTGGACGATCTTGGTGACGTACATAGAGACTTGCTCTAGGTGACAAAGACGGACTGCATTTCTTGTACCTCACGGGTTGTCGACGTAGCATACATGGACACGTCGGCATTGTATGATGGGCGCCCTGAGTATTCAGTCTGCTGTTAAACTCTGCGGATTGGGTTACTCGTCCGTCGTGCTCTACATGCTTACTTTGAGGAGGACATGCAACATAAATAGATACATGTCTGCGTGTGAGTGTCGTTCACGGATATAAAGATTTGGGGTGGACGGTACTTCTGAGCGGACGTGCCAAAAACAGAACTCTCCCAGCCCCTTCATTGGTCACAAGCGCGAGCGCCTACATAGGACATCATTGCCTCTATTTCTCCGGTACGCTTTGTGCTCGTGTTTTGGCTCTTCGTGGTCAATGTCAGTGTTCGCTGTCATAGTCACTAACCTACCTTGGTGCAACCTTCGTCCACTAACGAGAGGGGACCACCGAAGTTCCGCTATATTTACCGATGGTACCCTCGTTCTTTCGATCAAGATGGCTTGAACCGCAACGCTGGTACGGGTACGGGGAGTGACAGAGATGCGGTAACGATAGGGTCTCTGGGTCGTTTCGCACCGAGGCAATGTGTTTGTAACGAGTCTCGCAGTCTACCGTGAGTAACCCTGCTACTTGCAACCAATGGAGCGTTTTGCAACGCGCATTGCTGCATTTTGTACTCTGTGATACCTTGACATCATGCAACTTGAAACGGATCTCGCTGGGATAACTCGGAAGTGGGATACACGCTTGCAGAGCCTCAAGTCACTCTGAACCCGAATGTGGACGTGCTCATTGGACGCAGAGCACAGACATGAGCTGTGAATGCTCTTTACATAGCCTACCTCCCCTGCATCTGTATCTGAGGAACGTACTCAGCGTACTCAGGGAGGCGAGAGGGCGGTATAAAACCTCAGGCTAAGCAGGGCGAACAAGCCAGGCTCTTCGGTCTCCAGCCTTATCGGTCTTCCTCTAGTCGCAATGGCCTTCACCGCTCTCCTCTCTATCGTCGCTCTTGCCACTGCTACCAGCGGTGAGCTCTGCGTCCTTTTATTCTTCTGAGCGCGTTTCACTGACGCGCTTTCTCTCAGCCGCCGTCACCAAGCGCGTTACTTGCTCCGACGGTAACATCACGGCCAACGAGGCGTGCTGCATCCTCTTCCCCATCCTCGACGACCTCCAGGCGAACTTGTTCGACAATGGCGAGTGTGGTGAGGACGTGCACGAGTCTCTCCGTCTGACGTTCCACGACGCCATCGGTTTCTCTCTGCACAACTCTTCTGTTGGGTGCGCGAAACTTCTTATCGAGTCTGTATTTGCCACTGACTTGTCTACCAGTACTGGAGCCGACGGATCCATCGCTATATTCGAAAATATTGAAGCGAATTTCCACGCAAGGCGAGTATTTTTAACTATTTTGAAGCGAATTCTACACGTAACTCATTATTCTGGGTTATTTAGCATCGGCGTCGACGAGATCATCAACGAGCAGAAGCCGTTCCTCGCCCGCCACCCGGAAATCGGTGTCGGTGACTTCATCCAGGTAAGTCTAATAGTATCTGTCTACAGCGGTGTGGAGTCTAAACATATGATGCAGTTCGCTGGTGCCGCCGGTGTCTCCAACTGCCCTGGCGCGCCTCAGCTTCAGTTTCTCCTCGGTCGCGTGGACGCCACGGCCCCTGCTGTTGACAAGACTATCCCAGAGCCATTTGACACTGTTGACTCGATATTGGCGCGTTTTGCTGACGCTGGCTTCACTCCGGACGAGGTTGTTGCCCTGCTCGCTTCCCACACTGTCGCGGCTGCTGATGAGGGTCAGTCTCGATTATTTTATGAGCTTCTCCTTGCTGATATCATCGTTAGTCGACCCCACGATCCCGGGTACGCCCTTCGACAGCACGCCCTCCAGGTTCGACACCCAGTTCTTCGTCGAGACCCAGCTCCGCGGCACGGGCTTCCCCGGAACCGCTGGCAACCAGGGTGAGGAGGATTTCATAAATGAGAAGAAATCCATAGTAAAATAGCTTAACAGGTGAGGTCGAGAGCCCGCTCAAGGGCGAGATGCGACTCCAGTCCGACTCTGAGCTCGCTCGCGACTCGCGCACTGCATGCCTCTGGCAGGCCAACGTCAACAACCAGGCGCACATGATGAGCACGTTCGCCGCGGCGATGGCTAAGCTCGCCGTTCTTGGCCAGGACACGAGCAAGATGGTCGACTGCTCGGACGTTCTCCCCCGCGTGAAGCCGTTCACTTCTTCCGCGACGTTCCCCGCTGGTCTCTCCAACGTCGACGTCGAGCAGGCCTGCGCTACCTCCGCTTTCCCGACACTCAAGACCGACCCCGGCCCGGCGACCTCTGTGGCCCCTGTGTACGTCGTTGACACTGCTATATGCTCAAGTTCAGACACTCATGCTTCATCACAGCCCTCCTTCGTAAGGCGCCAGCCCCTACCTTGCCTCGTTCACAGGTTGCAAGGTTGTATACGCTCGCTATCTCATCTAGGGTTCTTTCTGGGTATCTCGGCGCCGTTTTTCTCCTGCGATAATGATCGGTGTAAACACATTTCCCTTCTTATATCTGCCTACTTTGTCAGCCTCCTTATCTGGTTGTAAACATCGTTATAAATCGTCGTTTTTGCTTTACTCAAACACCGAGTTTGGGCCCTTGACTGCGAACACACTGGATTTCGGTGAGCGGCGACTTGTCCTTCCCAGGCTAAGTTGCAGTGAGGTACGATATGCACTTATGTGCATATACCGTCTCGGTCCTCGTATGCCTCATAGGCGTTTCATTCTAAGCGACGAGCACGCCCTCCACGTTCCTTGGGTAGAGTACCCCTGGACACCGGCGTCGCTCTACGGAACTGCCGTGCCGGCTACAACGTCCGGTCCCGCGCGCCGGTGTAACCCTAGCGCCCGAGCTTTTCGCGCGTAGCCCGTCGTACCTTCGTTCTTTCACTTCGCCGTTTAGATATAACGGTTCCAAACTTGAAGCCGCGTTTGAATCAGCAAGCTAGAGAGCGAAAGGATGAGATCGACGGGGCACTTTGCCATCAGCTAAACCCGAGGGGTCCCGCGTGGGCGGCGGAGTGTTCGCACGGTGCTCTTTGTGCTCGACGGCCAGGTTATCAGTATTATAGAACTGCGTCTCCCTTCAAGTTACCAATAGTACATAAAAGATGATCTTCTAGCCTGTTTCTGTGCTCCACGGCGTCTCTGAACCGATACCAGCCAAGCTGCGGGACGCAAAGCTTAAGGCACTGACGTTCAAAGCTTCAAGTAGCCTTTCAGCTGGCCCACCAGCTCCCATAACGTAGTCGCTCCACGTGGGTCCAGCAGTAGAGGAGCGCATTCATCGCGCGTGCGCATGAGTCGTACTGTATGTCCAAGAGTCACCGCGACTCTAATCTCATTCCTATCAAGTACGCCCATATAGGGCTAAGGAATGGCCTGAGCGAGAAGGTGCGCACTCGCGGGAGCTGACGGTCTTGAGACTGTGGGTGAGACGACGAATTTCAACTGAGTAGGGTCATCCCACAGCCACTAGCTCTTGGTGACTGGTACTAGGTGTATCCTTGAATCGTGCCGCAGAAGGTCTGGGATCTAGCAAGCACGCTCAACGCTAATATGGATTCATGCGGTATAGTAGTTGCCACCAACTTCGGCGACGTGATAGCGCTTAGAGCGGGGGCAGAGCGTAGATCATTGAATGCAATAAGGTCGCCAGCTCCGCGTCGACGTCGTAGACGGGTTTCAGGTGCCGT